GTTTGCCGTTTGATTAATAACATATGCAAATGAGTTGGCGTGTTTTCCGCTGTAGCTGTGGCGCTTTCAGCTGATTTCTAGCTAAAATTTGTTTTGTTTATTTTTAAGCCAACTGTTTTGTCTTCTAAACGGATAAAGCTATATTTTTGGCTTCATTAATATATGCAAATGCGTTGGCCTGTTTTCCGCTGTAGCTGTGGCGCTTTCCGCTGATTTCTAGCTGAAGTCGGTTTTTTTTTAAAAGCCATCGGTTTTGTATTGTAAATGAATTGAGTTGTTTTTTTTTTTTTGCTGGCTGCTTTGTTTATTGCCAACTTGTGCACAGAAGGCTAATTCAGCTATTTGCAGATATTTGTTTATTATTTTTATAACATGGCATTCAGCTATTCGGCAGTTGGCAACACTGGCGCGACGCCCTATTGACATTGCAAAACCCAGAGCTGGCCACGCATTGGGCGAGCCCAGCAGCTGATGCTGCGACAGAGACGCCAAACGAGTGAGTGAGAAAGAGTGAGGGGGAGAGAGCGGGAGATTTCGATCTGCGCGCGCGCTCACTTGGGCAACAGACGAAGTAGACGAAGTCTTTACCATTTAACCGTATTAAACCCTTTTCTTCGAGTGTAGATGCGGCGTGTATGTGGTAAGTTTTGGGGTATATAAACGCGGGCGCATCTGCTGCTGGCCATCATTCAGCGTCTGGTCTTTTGGTCAAAAGCGTCGAAAAGCTAAAATCCAGCAAGCTTTACAAGCGTAGCAACAACAACAACAACAACAACAATGGTGAGCACAACAACAACAAGTGCACAATTTCCACACACGCACACATCCATCAAAATGCTTGAGGCTGACCTTAAATCTAGTTTGCCTTTAACATTGGCCCGCCAATTAACTAGTCACACACACTAATCGCACGCGTCCACGGATTTTAAATAGTTTTTTTAATTGCTTTTGATCGTGCTTTGCAGAAATTCTTCGTTTTGGCTGTGTGCGCCATTGCCGCGGTGGCGGCCGATGTCTCGCACCTGAATCTGGGCGGTAACAATGGCTACTCGTACGAGAGGCCAAGTCAGTCGTTTGACATTGACATCCGTTCGTCAGCGGGCGCTTCTTACTCGGCGCCAGCTCCGGGTCCATCATACTCGGCGCCAGCTCCGGGTCCATCGTACTCGGCGCCACCTCCGGGCCCATCGTACTCGGCGCCCGCACCTGCACCTGAGTATCTGCCACCTGTGCAAGATTTTCCGGCTCCCGCACCCGCTCCAGTCTACTCGGCACCAGCTCCAGCTCCAGTCTACTCGGCTCCAGCTCCCGAATACAGTGCTCCAGCTCCAGTTCAGCCTGCACCCGAGTATCTGCCACCTGCTCCAGCTTACTCTGCTCCTGCTCCAGCTCCAGTCTTCTCGGCTCCGGCACCTGAATACAGCGCTCCTGCTCCAGTTCAGCCTGCTCCCGAGTACCTGCCACCTGTACAGGACATTCATGCTCCGGCGCCCGCTCCAGTCTACTCGGCACCTGCTCCAGCTCCTGTCTACTCAGCTCCCGCACCCGAATACAGCGCTCCAGCTCCCTCTTATCCCGCACCTGAGTACCTGCCCCCCGTGCACGACATTCCCGCTCCAGCACCCGCGCCCGTTTACTCCGCACCCGCACCCAGCTATTCAGCCCCTGCTCCCGCACCGGTCTACTCCGCCCCAGCACCAGCTCCAGTCTACTCCGCCCCAGGCGGCGAATCCAACGGCTACGAGTACAATGTGCCAGCCAAACGTTTCCGTTTCTAAGCGCATCCACCATTCAGCATCTCCTCATCTAAGGAGCGCCATTTGTTAAATTAACAAGTGGCCTCCGTCTCCTTGTTGTTGATCATTTGTTGTTATTATTATGCAAAGTTTCTGTTGAGATTTTAAGCTAATAAATAAAATTAAATAATATATAAAATTAAATAACCAAATACTCTCTCTTTCTCTTTTTCCCATTCGCGATTCGCTTCGGTCGTTGCGTGATTTCCACGATCGTAAAATTCGAGTGTCCACAAAATCCCCACCATGTTATGCAAATCTTTCGCGCAAATGAGGACAATCAAAAGTAATATAATAAAAAAATAAATAAAAACGAAACTTGTTCACAAAATTAATGTCAACGAATCGCCTGTCAAAACGAGCTGGAAATGGTATTAAAACCAAAATTTGGCGAGACATTCGCACGTCCCTCAATTAAAGTCTTCCACATGTCTCATTAAATTCCAATTACCCTTTGGTATATTTTTCGTTATGTTATTCCCACGTTAATTATAATTTTGTTGCATTTGCCTACTGTCAATGCATAAACAAATTAATGCTTAATAATAATTCGAATATATTCAAGTATTTAGTTTGTCAAATTAATTATTAGTTTTGGAAATAAAATCAAATAAATTATAGACTTTTTCCTTTTACAGATATGTGAATATAGTGAAGAAAGATATATTTGAAAAGAGAAAACAGAACCTACATTTCGACTGATCGTTCCTATGGCAGCTATATATATAGTGTTTAGATCCGGCCGGTTCCGATATTTGAACTGTCCGGAACAAAAACAGATGGACATGGCTGTTAATGCTGATCTAGAATATATATACTTTACGGGGTCGGAGATGTCTCGTTTTGTTCATGACAAAACTATAATACTCTCTAGAAGAGTATAAAAGAAGATTAAAACACATTTCTAAGCAAAATCTCCTTTTCTGATCGATTGTTTCTATATGAGCCTTTATATTTTGTATTGATAGGAGGGGAAGCTCATAATTGCTGTGCTGTATCTGGATATCTCGGGCAACAAAAAACTTTTCCATACAAGAACTTAACTTGAAACCAATCTGTTTATACTTATATAAATTATATAGAGATACTCTGCAAGGTGAGAAAAAAAATAACACAATATCTAAAAATCAATATTCAAAAATAAAATACTTCAAATCTCCGCCCAAATAAATTCAATAAAAAACTAATAATACTTTGAAGTTTCTCTGAGTTTAAATTATTGCATTTAACTGGAACAACTTTTGGGCGCGAGTTGTTAACAAAAGATCCGAAAACTAAAGCTAACCTGCATGCATACATTTAATCAAATTTGAAAGCTGTTGTTGGGCGAAGGTTTTACACCCGATTCCATTGTCTAAATGTTGTGCACAGTCATTTTGTCCGTAACACGCGCTGATTAGGCTGCTTTTTGTTAGTATCAACAAATGCATATGCATTAAATAAATTAAAGTAGATTTGTCAATGTTAACAAACACAAGCCAGAAATAAACCAAGACCAAACATGTTAAGGTCGAGCTTAAAAATGCCAAGTTCCAAGTTTAACTCTCTTCAAAGAACATAATTAATTTAATTAATTCAATTATGTTTAAAAAAAATTGCTTGATTAAAGTATAATAAACAAGAAGTTTTCAACTACTTTTGTATGAATGTTTAATAACCTTTTCGATAAGCCGTAGTTTAAATACTCTTCGGGGTCAGCTTTGTGAAAAATGTTTTCGACTTTGACCAATTGCTTCTAAAAGGATTCATCTGATATAGTCAACCGATTTGACACGGATTTGCAGTTATGTTAGAATAGTACAAACAGTGCAGAATTTGTGAACGATCTTTACTGCAGAGGTACATGATATAGTGGCTGAATGTTGATAAGATTGTGTACATATGTGAGGCGCATTACAAAGAACGTAAAAGACAAGTTTGTTTGAAGATATTTTAAATACGTAAGAGGTTCAGTCGGGAGCTACCGACTAGGGGATACCCTGAACCCTCTTCTGCCAACATCAAATGCATAAATATATTTTATTTTAGAAGCTATATGTCAAGTTTGGTGACTCTAGCTCTTATTATTTACCAAAATTGCCCAAAAAACAGGATGTCGAGATCGATTTTTATCGATTGCTTGGAAACGGAGTATGTTATCGATTATCTAAAATTTCAAGTCTCTATTCTTATAGGTTCTGAGATCCTTGCGTTCATACAGACGGACAGACAGACAGACAGACAGACAGACAGACAGACAGACAGACAGACAGACAGACAGACAGACAGACAGACGGACAGACAGACAGACTCGCCTATTTTGCCTGTTACATACATTTGGATTTTGCACAAATACAATATATATTTTCATACAAGAACTTAATTTTCGACCAAATATTACAAGAAGCAGAGGGACATGACTATAACGATACGGTTGTTGATACTGATCAAGAATAAAAATAAACAGGTATATACAATAAAGGAAGTGTCTCCTTCTATGGATTACACATCATATGACCACATTATAATACCCTCTAGAAGGGTATAGAAGGCTGACAAATATATTTTAATTTTTTTTTATTCAACTAATATTAGATTTATTTGATGATTTGCTTCTCGTTAATTTCATTTGTAGTATACGTCATTTTATCCATAGTTGTTAAGTAAATTAACTTTTTGTATAATATGCACTGTTAGTTATTTTGTAGTTTAGTTTAATTTAGTTTACTATATATACGCATATATCATATGGGGTAATGGTGTAGTAGGTATTCATATATATATATATATATATAAATTATTATCATAATTGTTTTGCAATGCTTCTATAATTGATATCGCTCGATCTACTAATCGAACATTAACAAATCGAACTGCCGTATATCGTACTATACAATTAAACTAAAATACTTAAGTTGTTGTAGCTGTTGTTGAAGCGACTCTAGGAGTACATAGAGCATAGGGTCAAGTAAATAGGAGCCTAAACTTAAAATAAATATAAATTTAATTTAATTAAAAAAAAAAAAAACCAACGAGTTGACAAGTTTCCCATAGTTTTTTGTTGTTGTAAAAGACTCTACGCTACTTTTATATATATATGCACTTTTTGATTGCGTGTGTGTGTGTGTGTGTGTATTTGCGTGTGTGTGTGAGGATTGAAATTTTCAATAAGTCGCCTAAAACGGGGGCTAGCCACATGCCCCCCTTTAGCATAGGACATTCGCATACTCTACACATTATACATTTCTATATAGATCAACTACATTATATACAAGCTTGGGCGGTTGCCGGCGTTTGTTATGTATCATAATCATCCTGCTGGGAGCTAAAGTAGCTCACCAGGCCGCTAAACTCGCCGACACCACCGCCCACACTGTTCGCTGCGACGGCGGTGCTGCTGCTGCCGTGCGCCGAGCTGGAGTCCTCCTCGGCCACGGCAGCTGGCGAATCCGCTGTTGTTGTCGTTGTTTCAGCTAGCGGCGATTTGGTATTGGAGTAGGCCTCCAGTGTGATCAGTTTCTTGCTGGTTATCACCGACGGTGGCGTGACGGCGGCTGGCGGTGTGGGCGGTGGTGCTGTTGCGGCAGGAGGAGGCGCCACAACTGGCGCTGCTGTTGGTGCTGGCGATTTGCCGCGCGTCAGTGCGGATACTGAATGATTTGTGGGCGTGGCAGGCGGCGGCGGCGGCGGCGCACTGACAATCACCGAACTGGGCGCAGCTGCATGCGCGGGCGGTGTGCTCAATGGTGGTGGATAGTAGCCATAGGGTGGATAGCCGCCTAAATAAAATTATAGATTGGTTTAACATTAAGCTAGTAATTCACATATTTTGCTACTTACGCGCACCGGCTGCATAGTCCACAGGGCCGGGCCGCATATTGGCGCTGCCGGGCGGTCCCACACGCGGCGGATAGTTGGGATTGCCATAAATAGGCGGTGCTCTATAAGCAAAATATATATATTAGAATGGAAATATACAAAAATCAGCTGACAGTCTTCAATCTACCTGTAGGGATTTAGATGCGGTGAAGCATGCCGCGCCGGTGGCGGACCGGCGCCATAGACACTGGCCAGGGAGCCAGGCGGCGGTGGACCGCCATGATGCTCCGGGCCGTGCAGATAGGGCGGTGGACGTGCATTGGGCCCACTGCCAGGCGGTGCAGCCGCAGTCGACGTGGGCGGCGGTGCACCACGCAATGGCGGCGGAGCGCCATAGGTGGGTCGCAATGCGGAGCTCGGCGGCAGCGGCTGGCCATAGAAACGTGCCAGTTCCGCGCTGCTCGGATACATGCCAGCGCCGGGCGGCGGTTGTGGTGGTCCGCGTGCATGGGCCGGCGGCAGCAGCGAGGCCATGGGCATGCGTGTAATGACAGAAGCCTGCGAGACGTTGACCGACTGCGGCGCATCCTCGTGTGGCTTGAACAACTGTGGCGGCGCTGGCAGCGACGGCGGCGGCTGCGGCGCCTTGCCCGAAGCTGCTGGCTTCTCGTTGCCCACTGAGGATGTGGCGGCGGTGACAGCGGCAGCGGTTTGCTGCTTCTGCAGTTGATCCCGCAGAGGCGTCACCTTTTTTCGGCGACCACGCGGCTTGGAATCGGGCGCTGGCGCCGGCGGACGCACATTAGCAGCCGCAGCGGCGGCCTGCATCAGATGTGCTGCTGCAGCAGCTGGCATGGACATGCCCAAGGGCAGACGCTGCATGGCCGACAGCGGCTGCTGTTGCTGTGCCGGCGCATAGTTCGCGCGACTCAACGGCTGGCCCAGCGGCGCTGAGAGAGCATTTTGCAGCAGCTGCATGGCCTGCGGCGGTGGTGGTGCCAAATGCCTCTGCAGCATTGGATGCATGCCTGGTGGCGGCTGTTGCTGCTGCTGCTGCTGTTGTTGTTGTTGTTGTTGACCCGCTGGCGGCGGCGGCAGCAGCGAGGCGGGCAGCCCACCTGGTGGACCATGCGGCGAGAACTGATGTCGCAGCAGCGGCGGATGCATTGTGGGCATGGGCAAGCGTTTGCGCAGCGGCTCCTGAAGTCCCGAGGCGCTGGGCAACGTCTCCGGCGGCGTTGTTGGCAACTGTTTGGTCACCTTCGCTTTGGCTGGCGTGGCATGGCGCAACACCTCGTCCGGTGGCGGCAGATCACGCACAGATGACTCCGAACTTAACTGCTCGACCACCATGCGCGCAATGGCATCCTCCATATCCTCGGGCAAGTCGGGCAGCTCGGCATCATCCAGCTCCGAGTCCACATCGTCTAGATCATCAATGGCCTCGCCCTTGCGATGCAGATAATCAATGTCCAGCACCTTGGCCTGACGTATTACAGACAACGGCACCGTAGACAGCGAATCACCTGCACCAGGAGTAGCACCTACTTTGCTGGGCGTGCGCTGCTTCAGCTGCTGGGAAGCGGCTGCAGCTGCTGCTGCTGCTGCCGCTGGGCCTGCCACTGCTGTTGAGCCCTTGATGGGGGTTAGGCGTGGCGTTGCCGCTAGCTTGGCGCCCTCGGCATTCTTTTCGGCAAGCATGCGCTTGATCTCCTCCTGCTTCTGTATGAACTTCTGACGCTCCTCGGGCGGTGTATCCGGTCGCTGTACGCCCGGCTTAATGCCGCCATCGGAGCTATCGTCATCAAAGTCCTCAATGTAGGCATAGCGACGGCCTCGTGTACGCGTACGCTCATCGGAGCCGCCGCCGCCGCCGCCATCGTCCGAGGAAGCCGCCTTCTTCTTTTTCTTAGTGCCCTTGCCTTTGCCCTTGCCCTTGCCGGACGACTGCGCCTGCGCCGACGTTGCTGTCGTTGTTGTCGTCTTCTTTAAGGGCTGCGAACGTGGCTGCTTGCCGGAACCTTTGCCCGACATTGGCGCACCATTGGCACCCATCTGGACTTCATCGTCGTCATCCTCTTCGTCCTCCTCCTCGCTCTCGCTGATGTCATCGTCTGAATACTCGAGCTGTTTGGTCTTTTTGTTGGCGGGCTTCTTCAATTTGGGCGACTTGCGTGCAATGGCCATGGAGGATTTCTTGGCGGCGGCTGCCTTCTTACGCTTCGATGGATGCCAGGCGCCGTCCTCGCTTTCGCTGGTCGTGTCATCGCACAGATCAGCGCTGTCCATGTTCTCCGACAACTCGGAACCGTTGTCATCATCGTCGTCGGTTTCCGTTTCCGTATAGTCGGAATCCTCTTTCTTTTTCTTCTTTTGTGATTTATTGGACTTGGAGCGTTGCTGTCGTAGATCCTCGTCGTCGCTTTCATCGCTCTCCTCCACCACAAATTTGCGATCCTTGCGGCGCTCACGTGCCGCACGTCGGGCTGCCTTGCGCTGCTTTTTGCCACGCCCGGGCCGGCGATAGACCTCTAGACTGGAATCGGAATCATCCGAGGCAGATTGCGAGCTATCCTCGTCCGAGAAACTGGAAGTCTTAAAGTCCTCATCGCTGCCATGATCCTCCTCGGAGCTAACATCCAGTGTGGTCAGCTTACGTGCCTTCTTTTTGACCGGCTGAGCCGCCTTGCTCTTGGACTTGCCCACCGTTTTCAGCGGCTGCTCATCCTCGTTGTCGTCGTTGCTGTCATCCTCGTTGCTGGATTTGTGCTGTGTGTCTGATGTGTCCTTTGCCGCTTTGACCTGCGCCTGAGCACCCTCCTCGGGCTGATCGTCGCCCTCCTCTTCGCGTCGCGTCTTCTCCTTGTCCGCCTCGATGATGGTGCTGATGTCCTTGCCCCTGCCCAGATTCCCAGCCCCCGCCACCTCGTCCATCTCTTTCTTTAGCGCCGAATTGATCAGATCATCGTATTCATTGAGCCGATAGCTGACATTGATCTGCCGACGCTTGCGCAGCTTGTAAATGGGTTCATCGTCCGAGTCCGAGTAGCTGCTGCTGTTGCTGCTGCTGCTGGAACTGCTGCTGGAGCTGCCACCCGAGCGTGCGCCTCCCGCGCCGCCCGACTGTTGTTTGCCGCTCTTCGTGGCGCTGCTGCCGCTGTCCGAAGCGTCGTCCTTGCCACCGCGACGTCGCCGGGTGCCGCGTTTAGCTGCTCGCCGATTGCTGCGTCCGTCTCCACGTCGTCTCTTCGTCTTTTCCGGCTTGGAGCGCTTATTGGCCTTGCTGGAGCCATCGCCATCGTCATCGTCGTCATCATCATCGTCATCGTCATCCTCATCATCTTCGCCGTCATCATTGACATCCTTCTTTCTCGCATTGGATCGCTCCTCCAGCTCGCTGGCAGTGCGGGCAGCTGCTGCGGCTTCCGCTTGGCGCTAACAGGTTAGGATTTTATATCAGTCAAAGCATTAAAGCAGTAAAGTGAAAGGGAGTTCGGTTTCTATCAACTGCAGATTCCTAAGTTTCCATTACGATTCCATTGCAACGGGGCGAGTCTAGAAAATATCCTGTTCCAGGCCTAAATGTGCATTCCCATTAACTTTTGCGCATACAAACAGCTATTTTTCCATATTTGTGTGTGCATTTCCGACTTGGACACATTCCAACATCCTGCCACAGCATTTCATGCATTTAAACACACACACGCACACAACACGCGTTCAATTTATGCTTAATGGGAAATGCATTCTTGAATATTTCGGGTGTTTAAAGTTCTATTTTTTTTTTTAATTTTCAGAGCCTAATTATGACACTCAAAAGCGTGCATATATCACCAAAGCGCAAGACTCTGGCTTTAAGAATTCGATTTTTTGTTGCCTCTATCTCTTATAAGCTCCGAGATATGATTGAAAGAACCCAATCTGAAATCGATATTTATCGATTTGATGAACATATAGTGAGCTTTTGCTGATTTGCTATAATCCTCATCTATCTGTGCAATAGAAAGACAAATTCGATGTCTGTAGCTTCTTGCACAAGAGCTCTTAGGCGGGATATATCATAAAACGCAAGGTTGATATCGATTTTTATCGATTTCGCGAATATGGATCAATTTATCATCCATCGATCTCAGTCTCTGAGATCTTAGCGTTCATATACATACGGACAGACGAACGGGCAGGCAGACGGACACAATCAGCCCGTCTCAGCTTTTTATGCAGATCGGAAAAGAAAAGTTTCCTTCCGTTTGTCATATACCCTTTAATGATTTCTGGAGATATGGCAGATGTTAAGATGTCGCATGAGGAAGAAGTAAATACAGACGGACAAGCTACAACGTTGAGATCATATCTTTCGTAAGGTCGTCGGTTTGAATACCCTTACTTAGGGTACATACTAGGTAATAATGGATTTCAGGAAAATTCAAAAAAAATAGTAATCCTCATTGGGAATCCAAGACTTTTAAAACAACCAATGTAAGAGTGTACGTGAAGGATAATCTTACCACCGCCTCCTCGGCCAAAAGTTTCTCCTGGTGCTTGCGAGCAACCAGATCATCGAACTGCTGCAGCTTCTGCTCGAGGGCAACGATGAGCTGCTCCTGCTGGCAGGGCGGACAGTGCCAATCGCCCTCGGGTATGTAGAAAAGCACGGGACTGAGACAGGAGCAGTGATAGCCTTTGTTGCAGCCGGGCGTATCGCACAAGAGAATCCATTCGGGATGATCCGATTTGCCGCACTTCTGGCACGCTTCGTCCGCATCTGCGGCGGCTGCGTAATCCTCGTTATCGTCGGCGTTCTCTTTGCGCAATGTGCGAGCCCGTTTCATGGGCACCACTTGGCTGTCATCCTCCAGTTCCGATTCGGGTGAGAATTCATGATCGGATTTAAAGAGCGGCGAGCCGGGATCTGTTTCATAGTGTGGTGGCTCTTCCTCCTCCTCCTCGGTTTCAGCCTGCTCCTCGGAGTCCGAGGACCAGCCATCCTTGCCGGGGCATTTTTTCTTGATCTTCTTTTTGGTCTCTTCGGCCTCGCTGGCCGACTCAAAGGACTCGGACTCTGCCGAGGGCTCTAGCACTGTGGGATCCGCTTCCTTCTCAGCCTTCTTCTTGTTCTTCAGCTGCTGTTTCATGCTGCGCAACGCCACTTCCTCCAATTTGCGTCGCTCTGCCTCTTCCTTGATCTTCTGCTGCGCTATGCGACGCGATTGACGCACCGGCGTCTCCGAATCGTTGGTATCAATTATGTTCGTGGTGTCCACCTCACGCTTTTTGCGCGGACCACGGCCACGCCCGACGCCAGCTGGTTTTGCAATCTCCTCCTTGGGCTCTAAACTCTTTGGTTTTTCCGCTGGCTCTTCAGTTTCTGCCTTGGTTTTAGGCTCTTCCTTGATCGTTAGCTCCTCCTCAGCGAGTGGATCACTTTTTAATTCCTCCTTGGGTTCCTCCTTTGATTTGACTGCTTTAACTGTTTGCGGCTGCTCCTCCGCCTCGCCCTTCACCTCTTCCTGGGGCTCTTCTTCAGTTTTGAGTGGATCTTCTTTGATATGCTGCTTGTTTTCAACGACGGGCTTTTCTTTGGGGCCACCCCTGGTGCGCTTGGGCTGCGGCAGCTCAGAATAGACTACTGCGGCGCCACCGCGACGTCCAGAGCGCCGTCCCAAGGCTTCTGCTGGTGGTGGCGTATCCTCCTTAGCAGCTGGTGGTGTTGTCTGCTTGACCAGTGATGCCTCCTTTTTAACCGATGGTGGCGTCGCTTGCTTGCCGGGAGGGGTTGTTCCTTTTTTGATTGGTAGCGTTTCCTGCTTGACAGAAGCAGCTGCTGCTGCCTTCACGGGCACAGCTGCAAATTCTTTGACGAGTGGAGGTGTTGCTTGCTTCATGGGTGGAGGTGTTGCTTGCTTCACGGGAGGCGGTGTTGCTTGCTTAACGGGTGGAGGTGTTGCTTGCTTCACGGGAGGCGGTGTTGCTGGCTTCACGGGTGGAGGTGTTGCTTGCTTGACAGGTGGAGGTGTTGCCTGCTTGACGGGTGGAGGTGTTGCCTGCTTGACGGGTGGAGGTGTTGCTTGCTTAACCGGCGGCTGTGGTGTCGACTGCTTGCCTGGCTGTGACTCCTGAGGTGCTGATGTGGGCGGTTCCTCCTCGAGAAATTGCTGATCATTGTTACGCTTGAGTTTCTCGCTAATTGCGGGCAACTCTTCGCCAGCGCTGGCCTCCTTGGACTCCTTGGCTTCCTCGCTGCTGCGCCGTTTGCGTTGCAGTGTGGACTCCAAGCCTGGGTTAACTGGCGCCGGAGCGACAACTGTTTCGCTGTTGGTGCGCTTTCTGGGTATGGCCTCCTCGTCGCTCTCCTCCTGACGGATTTGGGTAAGCAAATTCTTTTTCAGTGGCTTCGTAATGGGCGACTTTTTGGGCGGTGTAAACGGCACTGGCTCGACTTTTGCTGCTGCGGGCGGCGTAACCTCGTTGACTGGCTGCATCGTTGTCGTTGACGTTGTCGCCGGATGCGACGGTGGCGGTGGCTGCGCCTGCTGCTCGGGCAGCTCTTCTTTTGGCTTTTCCGGCGTCTTTTTCAATTTCTTCTCAATGATTTCGGCCAGCGTGGGCTTTTGCTTAACCGGATTGGGCTTCTCCAGATGACGTTTGGGCGCAATGATCTTGCGGCGACTGCGCGCATCTTCCTCGCCGCTCGAGGAGGTGGTCTCCTCGATTTGTGTTTTCTGCGCCTCCACCTTGCGACGCACCTCAACGTTGGTGATCTTTGGGCGCATTTTGAAGCGCTTACCGCCAATATCCAAATCGTCATCGTTATCCAAGCCATCCACTTGCTGTTGTTGCTCATCCTCCAGCTGAAGCTCGCCATGTACGTCCAGTTCACTTTCGGATGTGGACTGACGCGCTGCGGGCGCTGCAAACTCGGCCAGACGACGCTTGCGATTGGGCAGCAGCATTAGTTTTCTGTCCTGGCTCACGGGTGCCTCACTTGAGACCACAATTTCTGGCTTGCTGTCCTTGGTTGTCTTTGCTTCACAGCTCGGCTCTAGGGATTTGTTTTCTATAGGCTTTTCAGGCTTGACGTTTTGATTATCTATTGGGCTTACGACCTTCGAGGTGCTAGGCAATTCATTTTGTACTGTCTGCGTTAACTTTTTGTCGTGGCCACATTCAGCAACCGGCTCACTAGCAGGTATTTCAGCAGCAGCCGCAACAGCAGCGGTTACGTCGGCTTCAACGATGTTTGCTCCATTTGCAGCTGGTTCAACAGATTCGCTGATAATTGCAACTGCTGTTGCCTGCTGCGGCTCAGCTTGTTCGTTTGCGGCCGTTTTCGTATTGTTTTCCAGCGTTTCTTTAGCTGGTTCAGCTGCAGGTTCTGCATGCTTTTCAGCTGCGGTTGCTTCTTTTATGGGTTTGGGTTCTTCTTCTTTGTCAGCATGATTTGTGTTTTGTTTTTTAATATCTTCCGTTTTTTCAGCTACAGTTTGAAGCTTCTTTCTGGGCTCCGATTCATCTGCCTCTTTTGTTGTTTCGGCTTCAATGCTTTTCTTAACTATTTCTAGCGCTTCGTCTGCCGTTTCTATCAGTCGCACCTTGTACACTTGTTCGATGTTTTCTTCGGATTTTTCAGGCTTTTCCTCCTTTTGTTCATTTGAGATTTCTTGTGTTGCACTTGGCTTTTCAGTCGCAATTTCCACTGGCTTGTCCGATGGCTCTGGTGCTGACACCTTTGCTTCAACTACAATTTTGTCACTTTCAGAACTAGGCTGGGGTTTCGTTTCCAGCTCTTGCTGCTGCTCCGGTGACTCATTTCCATTGAGCGCTGGCGCCAGCTTGTTTTCGTTTTCTGCCGGCTTTAGGCTCTCTCCATTGGTTTTTTCTGGCTCTGTCTCTGGTTCTGGCTCGCCTATGCTATCGAATATGCTGCGTTTAGTTTCCTGCTTTGGCGTCTGTTTGATGGGACTTAGTTTAAGGCAACCAGGCTCGCCGAAAAAGAACGTAGCCTTTGGCTCGTTCTTGGCTGTGGGCTCCTCCTCAGCACTGGTTTCCGTATTGCCATTGCCAACCAGACACTCAGCGCCGCTGCCAGAGCCGAGCACATAGTAGAGCGGTTCAACGATTGTCTCGCCCACAGGCGCATCCAATTCCTCATTAGCTGCAAAGTCGCTAAGAAACTGTACATCATCTGGCAAGGCCTCACAGTCGCGACCGGATCCCTGGCCGTGAACTATTAACGTGGGCTCTTCAATGGCTTCGCCGACTTCATTATCTTCATCTTCATCCTCCTCATCATCATCTTCATCATTTTCATCGTCTTCGTTAAATTTTCGCTCGTTTTCATCCTCGTCAGCAGCAGCACTATCAAGGGATTCTTCTTCGCCATCAAGCGATTCCTCCTCCTCCTCCTCGCCCTCATCCAACTCCGAGTCTTCCGAGTCGACTTCGTTGTCATCTTCGGATTTAGTGCTCTCATAGCGACTGGGCTTCTTAATACGTTTTGTGTCCAACAGTGTGGGTCGCTGCTTCTTATGCTGTTCCTCCGAAGCCAACGGTGGACTACCGTCCGAATCCTCCAACGGCCTCTTCTTAGCCGGCGCTGGCGAGCCACTTAGTTTGGCCTGTGTTATAAGCAGTGGCTGCAATGGATTGTGGGGTAATTAGAGTAATTTGGTAAATTTCAGCTTATATACTCACCTTGACCTTTTTGGGCTTTAGTTCCGCTTCCGGTTGTTCCTGCTGCTGCTGCTGCTCGGGCGTGCGCAGCTTGATCTTCAAGTTGGGCACCTTTGCCTCGTGCGAATCATCATCTTGTTCTGACCGCTGTTCTGTGGTTGCAGCTGGCGGCGGTGCATTGTGACTGCTGCTGCTGCTGCTTGTGGTATCCTCATCTGCCTCGCCGATATCCTTGGAGGGCAGCACCACCTCATTGCCGCGCAGGCGTGCAATCAAATTCACAAATTCATCTCGATTGGTGGCCACCACCTGCCATATCTCCTCGTCCAAATGCTCCTGATAAATGCGCAAATTGCAGTCGCCATCCTGTGTTAGCCAGTAGGCGTGGCCCAAACGATCACGCCCTATTGGCTGTGCACGCAATGTGCTCGCATTTTGCGTTAGAATATTCGCACGAAATTTGGCATTACGTTCGAATTGGCTCTCAAGCAGTTCCTGCAAGCAAAGGATTGAAGGATTAATATCAAACTTTTGAATTGAAGAAGAAAATTGATTTGCAAACTTCCTCTCCCGTCTTGATACTCACGCGTAGGATACGCAGCTTGACCTTCAGGCTGGAGTTGCGATAGCCGAAACGCTCAATCTCCCAGGCATCCTGCAGGGAGTAGCCGAAACAGAATTTGCTCACCGATGATTCCCAACTTTTTTCGTGCACCGTTTTGCGTGTTTTACGCAACAGCTTAATGTGCAGATCGCGCAGTTCGGCCACTGAAAGAGAAAAGCAGTGTATGTGTGCAAAGTTAATCGAAATGTTTTGATTGTTGTTTTTGTTTTTGTTCTCGTTTTCAGCTGCATTTTTTATGGTCTCCGCTTTGCTCCATACCAAACAATAATACAAACAAGCAAGCATTCCTCTCTCTCTCTCTCTCTCGCTCTCTCTCAATCGCATACACACACACACGCGCATATACACTACTCACACAGTTGCATACATATGCACGCACATACATACATACACACGTACCTTCATCGTTGTTTGTCAACCACTCCTGCAAATGCTTGAAATTTGGCAAAGCCAAGCCCAAATCTTTGGCAAATTTTTGCAAAAATGCACAAATTACCGCAAAATCTGGATCGTTTGCACATGAATGTAGCGTTGTGGTTAATGCATCGTCATCTTTATCTTTACATTCTTCTTTACATTCAGCCGTAGCTGAAGACGCCGCCATTTTTCATGCGTCTGCTGAAAAAATGTGTAAGGCCCTCAAAATCTTGTTAACTAAACTTGCAAAATAGCAACAATAGTACAAAGAACGCACAGCATTTGTTTTATCTTCAAGTACACTTAATGCACAGAGTTTTATTGCACGAATTAAGCATAATTTTAATTACTTTTATACTATTACTTTATTTTTCGACGCATGAGAACCGATAGGCGACCGATAAACTGTGGCGGTCGGACAATTTACCCAGACTAGTGATGAGCAAACTTGACTCACTTAACGAAACTACTCGATTGGTGCTGAACAGCTCAATTATGATTTGGTATATTAACATTTGTTTGAAAATGTAACAGAAGCAAATAAGAAGAGCGTAGAAAAACAACAAAGACGGACAAAAACAAGGTTGAAAATCGAATTTGTAGCTTAACATTTAAAATATCAACATACAGTGTTATCTCTTTGTGTATATTTTTGCGTTTTTCAATGTGAAAAGAGCAATAATTAATTAAATCAAAATCGAATTAAATCAAACGAAAAATAAAAACGCAAGTGAAAGTGTGTGAAATACGATATTTAACATTGATAAAACAGCTGTAACAGATTGCTAAAATGGCAGCATATCAAATGAATTTTAACCAGGATTTTACGTAAGTTACAACAAATTACACACCATATCTCCCCCCCTTCCCCCACAACACACACCAATAGACATATTCCTTCGATATAATAAAGGTCATTGTGGCGAAAAAAACAAATATGCAGCAAAAAAATCTCTCAGATACACCCAACGACAAACGAGACAAGTAAACAAGCGTACAGCTGCTGGGAGCGGGGGTGGTGACGGGAGCGGAAACAATGGCAGCTAATAGCTGAACTGTAACAGAGCCTATCAGTACGTGTGTATGTGTGTGTGTGTATCAGTGTGTGTGCATGTGTATGCGAGCGTGTATTGGCGTCGTTTTGCTTATTAGAACATGCAAACAACCAGTTCTAATAAGAATGACATGCATACATTTATTATGAAATATAGGTAATGGCAAACTACTCATGAACACTAGCCAACACGGTAAAACACCAAATTAGCTACAAGTGATTGGTTATTATGATTTAATGTTCTGAAATTGGGTCCATTTAGGCCAAAGTAAATCTGACATCATCTTAACATTGACAAAAAATGTTAAAGCTCAAATTGTTCGTTTTTCTAGACAGTGTAATAAGCGTCAATGCGCCAATACACGCACACGAGCATACACACATACTGTAAATGCGCAACAGCTGATGCTGTCTTCTTTATGTATGTATGTATGTGTATATTATTTTATTTGTTTTGTTGCTGCTGCTGCTTTTGTGACTTGCAAACTGAATAAACTCGTTTAATTAGTTAGTTAGTGAAATTTGTTGTTTTATGTCAAAGATTGTTTATTTTTGCTCAGCTGATGTCATATTGAGGTTAACTTACTGGCAAAACCCCCGTTACATGCCATTAGACTACTCTCCCGCTCTCGCTCTTTCTCACACTCTCCATGCTCTGTGCCCGGGTAAAGTGCAAGTGACGCACACAGTGGCAGCAACAACAAAAACAATCAATATATTGCTGCTTATTGCGAAAATCCGAAAAAGAAAACACTTAAAGCATGTATGTATGTATGTATTTGGCACACACATATGTACGTACATACATAAACGGACGCAATTATATGAGGCACACCAACAAACAAACCTGATAGTCGCGCGTCATAAAGCGAGAACAAAGAGCTCAAGCAGCGAAAAAGAGATAGCATGCAAGCGCTTTCTAATCAGAACAAATCAATTAGCTTTTAAAAGCGCGACGCGGGTGAATGCACCGCACAAAAAAAACTAATTAGACATTTCCCTTACATTTGATTGTCAAGTTCAAGGGCATAGCTGCTGCTGCAGGGGGCATGGGGGATGGGGGCGTTTAGTAACTGATAACGGCAAGGCATAAAAAAACACGTGTTGAGAAGCTGCCATTGTCCATTGGCCACGAATAGTGCAGTTTAGCATTTCATAATATTTGTGTTTTCATTGTTTTGTTTACGCCAGCTGTTTACGCGGTTTGCCGTTTCGCTTTGTTTTGCATAATATACCCTGTTTATACACTATCTGAAGTGTATTTGGGTTCGTAGCTCAATTTTGATAAGTTCCTTAACTTCTCTCGGCATGTTTCTCTTGCTTTTAAAGCGAATGAACCTGCTCGTGCACTTTTGGCAGAGCGTTTAATTTATGAGTCGATTGTGTTTTTTTTATCATGCATTTTACGGCTGTGATTTGAGTGCGTCATTTCACAATTTTACACAAATATTATTGTTAATCATGTGTAATACGCAGCTTAAGTTAGTTGTTAGTAAACAACACAAAAGAGAGGCGCGCGCAAAAATTGTAAAAACAAACCGCAAACAAGGCCGTCGTGTTATCGGTTTGCAAAAGGGGTTTGGGTCTCATGCAGCTGAGTGTGACCTTGAGCCCCTTTTGCGACGACGCCTTTTGCCGAGAAACTAGTTTTGATTCCCAAAAAGAAGCAAACAAAAAAAAAAACGTTGAAAGCCTCGTCTGAGTCGAGGCACACACGTGTTGCGCTCAGCATGAGATTTGCTGCTCTCGTATGAAGAAACGTGCCTGAAATATAATTTGACATAAATATCAAGCACAAATGTTTCCATAGCCAGCAACGGTTGTGCATAAGCAAAAACAAAAACAAATCAAAAGCTTTTTGTAGCTGAATTCAAAGTGTGCGCTCTAGCGAACGCTTCGCAACACTGGCGCCGCTGACTGAGTGTGGCAGTGTTAGACACAAAATAAATACCAAACGAAAAAAAATACCAAATCGCAGCAAGCGCACGCAAAACATAAACAACAACAAAGCAAAACTGCATTTGACATTGAAAACGCGGAAATTGGAAAATAATTGGATAATTAAATACCTGCAAGGGTGTAAAAAAAAAAGCAATCGCTACATGCAATGGAGCAGCGCGCCAATTTCCTAGCCCTGACGCTGCTGGACGCACTCGAGGACGAGAACGAATCGGACATATTCTCCATGCTGGACCGAAACCCCATCAATGCCGGAATTGTGCCCTGCGAGCGCGGAATCGCACCGCTGCACTATGTTTGCGGCATGCCGAACGAGCAGCTGGCCGTGCGCATACTGGAACGCTTCCTCGCCAGCGATCAGCTGGACGTGAATGTGCGCTGCGACGGCAACATGACGGCACTGCACATAGCCGCAATCTATGGCCGGTTGGAGCTGGTGCGTCTGCTGCTGGAGCATGGCGCCCGGCCGGACATCGAGGACGATGAGCACAAGCTGGCCGTGCACTATGCCATTGACGAGTGCCATTTCGAGGTGCTGCAGCTGATGCGCGATCACATCCTCAGGGAGAAGCAGGCGCAGAAGCAGAAACAGCAGCAACAGCAGCAACATGCGACGCCCAAGTCGGGCATCAAGTACAACCATGACGTTACCTCGCCCTACTACATCAATATAACGCATAGGCGTGGCAGACCGCAGCCCAAATTTCCAGATATCAGCGATCCGGAACAGTCGGTGAATCTGTTTACGCTCACACGCGATCATCTGGCGGAGCTGACGCACAGCCAGGAGGAGGCGTCCTGTGGACGACGCACGCTTATCGAGAGCTGGCGCGACAAGGTGGAGCGTTCACGTGCACGCAAATCGCTGCTGCAGACCGAGCATGTCGAGACGCTGGTGGAGCAGGCCATGGCCCAGCCTGACTTTAGCATCGAGCAGCATGTGCAGCAGGCGTTGCGCCAGGCGGATGAGCAGCGCGATCAGCGGGAGCAGGCGGCGCCAACTGAAGGCAACAGCGCCGCCTTTGGCCAGCTTGTGGAGCAAGTGGCGCAGGCCTGCGTGCTGGAGCAGAGCTTCCATACGGCTCCGGAAGAGCCAGCGCCAGACAAATCCTACTATCTGCAAATGACCGAAGCCTATGTGCACACGGACGACGAGAATGGCCTAGTCTTCTATGAAACCAAGCTGCTGCAGAATGTGCCCGAAAAGCCGCCCACCAAATCCAAGCATCAGCGGCTGGCGCCGCCAGCCAAGTTGCAGCTGGACAGCAGCGCTAGCACCAATGTGAGCCTGCCGTTGGACTACGAGACGGATGCACTGCGTGCGGAACTGACACAGCTGGGCGCTCCGCCCGTGGGCCCCATCACGCACACCACCAAGCGGCTGTACATCAAGCAGCTGATCAAGTACAAGCGGAACACGGCCGCTTTGCTGGCGGCGCAGCGGCACGCGAAGGCGGCACAGATCAAGTACTCCGTGGAGCTGCATCATACGCTGCGCTCCCAGGCGGACTACGAGCACATCGAACGGTATATGGCGCACGAGTGTGCCTCTGCGGCGCACTTTGCCACGGCTGCGGCGGGTGGACGTCAGCTGCGCGAGGGTCATCTGAAGCAGAGCTTCATTTATATGTTGATTGATCCGCGCATCTCGAGGAATTTGCCGGGCGAGCGCAGCTTTCTCGATTCGCTGAGCATTTGGTCGCGCTTTTTGGATGCCATTTTCTATGTGGGCAAGGGCAAATCCACACGGCCATATGCCCATCTCTATGATGCAATGCGTCAGCATACGCGCGCCCATCTCCAGCAGCCGGCGACGGGTAAGAAGCGTACCGGACGCTGCCTGCTAATGCCGGAGATTTTCAAATCACCGCCGCCGCCGCCGGGCAAGGCTAGCAGCAAGAAGCTGCAGCGCATCCTGGACATCTGGCAGCATGGCAGCGGCGTCGTGTGCCTGCATGTTTTCCACAATATTCTGCCCACAGATGCGTATACGCGCGAGGCGTCCATCATAGACGCGCTCGGCCTCACGCATTTGACGAACATGAAGCGCGGGGATTACTATGGTCCGGCCCAGATCTGGACCATGAAGCAGAAGAAGCAGCTGGGAATCGCTTTGCTGCACAAGGCCATGCACATATATTTGGCGGAGGGCGAATCGCAGTTGTCGCCCAGTGATTTAATTTAGTTGTTTTTAGCAATAAGTACCAAGTACAAAGTGTAAAGGTGCGACAAAGCTATCTTATACCCGGATCTCAGTTCAAAAATGTGTGTAGCATAATTAAATAAAAAATCGCATTAGAATAGACCAAATAAGGAAATGACCTAAATAAGCACAATGCTGGTATTTACTTGCTTTTGGTATTTGGTATTTTTTGGTCATATATAGCTGTCACACTCTAGCACACGGCTGCTACTTGTTGCTGCGGTTTTTGTTGTTATTTAATTTATATATTTACGCAATAATATTTTGTATATATAGTAACCTTTTTGGCAACAACAATTGCCTTATGCACATAACTACTTTTTTTTAAATATTAAATGAATATTTAATTACGGCTGTACATGTGCTGCCGTGCTGCCAAACAATACTGTGCGAAGTTGTGCGAGTTCGAATGCCAATGCAGGCATATCGTAAAAATATTTTATTAAATATTTTAAGTAGTCAAATTTATTTTTCAAATTTTATTTTTTTAAAAATGTCTATTTTCACCCCAATATTTAAGTTGTGAAACTGCATTTGAAGCAGCTGTCACCGACCAACAACCTCTCAAGTGCAATTTACCCTACCCGCAGCGGCACCATCCCTTACTCTAAGCTTCAGACAACAAAAACAACAAAGAGGGATGCATTTGCCGGCTAAATACGCACAAACAACAACAAAAATGCAGCCCAAAAGCATGCTATACAGTTGGCAACAACAAAACGTTTCACAGCTTGAGTATGTCACTTAGAATTCTCAACTGGTTGTAGCTGTACGCGCATGGAGTAGTCGTTGTTTTGCCTATGTTAGGTTATCTTTGCGCAGAGGCGATATCGTAACCAATGAAGTTCTACTGAGGTGCGATTATTGCTAGTTGAAAACTTTAACCAATACCCCGCCATGGGGACGTGAAATACCGTCCACTACGGCAATTTTTGGAAGCCCGAGAGGGCTAATTAAATAATGAATGTGATTATCAGGTTGTTGATGAGTGACGTGTTTTAATAGGTGTTTGGCTTAAAGCCTGATTCGGGATATTTTTCTATATATGGCAAATGTTGATATTATAAGTTGGTAATTTTTTTTGCATTTTAAGGCGCAAATTAAGCTACTCTTATTTGATTCCAAGCAACACTGATTAGACATTATGTCTGAAGAAGTGTTGAGTAGTGTTTAAGAAATATGGTATATTTAAAATACTCTTTACTTATCCCGTCCACAGTTCCCTATCGGTGCTGAGCAGCACTGGTCTGCGTCTGTACTCGATTGGTGGCCAGGATAAGGTCGAGGAGATCTTTGCCAAGGAGAACACAGAGCAAATACGGATTGTGGAAAGGCTATTCAACAGTTCGCTGGTGGTGCTGGTCACCGCCCAGAAGCCCAACTGCCTGAAGATGCTGCACTTTAAGAAGAAACAGGACATTTGCAATTGCTTCTATCCGTCGGAGATATTGTGCGTGCGCATGAACCGCCAGCGTCTGATTGTCTGCCTCGCGGAGAGCATACACATACACGATATACGCGACATGAAGATCCTGCACTCGATTGAGAATATAGCGCCAAATGAACAGGGCCTGTGCGCGCTCTCGCTCAACTCACATTTGGCCTTTCCCATCTGCCAGTCCAGCGGCGAGCTGCGCATCTTCAATGCCCACAAACTGCGCACGGGCATGACGATTAAGGCGCATGACACGCCCCTTTCGGCATTGACCTTCTCGCCCAGCGGCGCACTGCTGGCCACCGCATCGGAGCGTGGCACTGTCATACGCGTCTTCTGCGTAAAGAATGGCCAGCGGGTGCAAGAGTTCAGGCGCGGCGTGAAGCGCTGCGTGCGCATCGCATCTCTGGTATTTGCAGCGGGCGGTGACTATTTGTGCGCCTCCTCCAACACGGAGACGGTGCATGTCTTCAAGATCGATGCCCGGGCCGTGGAGCTGGCCGAGCTGAAGGCCATTGGTGAGTGCTAAGCCCCAAAATGAATCCATTCCAGAAAATTGACTGATTGCTTGTCTTACAGCTGAAGTGGCTGCCAAATCGGACAAGGAGAAGACGACGACAACGGCGACGACGACAACGGCGACTGCGACTGGGGGTGCGAACGCAGAAGCTGCAGAGGCAGCAGCTGAGGAAGCGCCCGCAGCCAGCTGGGGCGGCATGTTCACCAAGGCGGTGTCCTCGCTGCTGCTGCCCGCCCAGGTGAGCGATGTGCTGGCCCAGGATCGCGCCTTTGCAACGGTGCAGCTGCCGCAGCCAGGTCTCAGGAACATCTGCGCACTGACTCGCGTGCAAAAGGAGCTGCGTCTGCTGATTGCCTGCGAGGATGGATTCCTCTATATGCACGACTTCAATGCGGAGCGCGGTGGCGCCTGCAAGCTGCTGGCGGTGCACGATCTGCGCGGCGCCCTGGAGGATGTCATTGAGCTGCAGCTAAGCGAAAGCGTACTAAAGACGCAATCAAAGACGCTGCCGGCTGCACTGCCACAGCAATCGCTGACCATGCTGAAGAGCTGTGCGGCCAGTGTGCTCATCGAGAATCCAGATCCTGTGGCGGACAACAGCTATGCGGGCATATTGCGCGGCGAGCAGGCGGATGCCATGTCCGGTTCGTTTAGAATATATCCAAATCAAGTCATATGGTCAGCTTTATTATCATATTTTGTAGATTCCGCCAAGTTTCGTAAGCTGTGCGATGCCATTGACACGCCCACAAAGCTGTACGATGAACGCCAGTTCCCGCCCGTGGCAATTACGGCCAAGGATTGACGACCACGTCGGCACAGCCATAGGGACATTGTGTTTCTGGACAAATCACAGTGTGATTAAAAGCGCGCGCTCTCTGCATTTCTGAATATCCCAAAAAAAAAAATATATTGAAAAATTTACGAAAAAAAACGTACCCAAAAAAAATTTAGCAAAATATTTAAAGCAATTTAACTAAGTTAAAATAATTTTAAACAAAAAAAAAAAAAAACACAAAATACTCGAAAGAGAAAAATTAAAAAAAAAAAGTATTTTAGTTATATGTAATTAATTTTTTGCTCTGTAATTTGTTTTCAACAATTTGTATATAATTGTAACTAAAGTTTCTATTAAGAACTCCTCCGAATATCTCATTCCGTAAGCTCTGCTCTGTCTCTCTCTCCCTTTCTCTCTCTCTTTCTCTCACTTCGCAATTATGAAAACTTTGTATAATATAAATATTTATTAGTAGGCAAGGAGCAACGTTTTTCTTTAAGTGTATAAGTTCAAGTATAGTTCAAAAGAAGCTCAAAAATCCAAAAAATTAAAAAAAAAAGAAGCTGGAGAGAAAAATAATCAACTAAATGTACCTTAAACAATGAGCAACAAGAAACGTATTCAATTAGCTTTGCAAGTAAATATTATATGTGTAACAATAAATATTAATTAAATATTGCAAATATTTAAAAAACAAAAAAAACAAAACAAAACAGAAAAAACTAAGTATTAAAAAAAATGTATGTTTAAGAAACCGAAATATTCACAATATCGAAACAATTAGATTTTAACAAATACATCTAACAAGGTATACAATCTGAGATTCGCAATCAATTATCTAAAAATATGTTCAAAACCGAAAAACAGACAAACAGCAAGTCAATATGCCCAAAAAAAAAAAAAATTAAAGACAAAAAAAAGTATTAAAAATATTAAAAACTACAAAAAAACCGAATTTTGTACAAGTAATTTCAATGGGAGCTATAAAAAACACAATAATATTGTTAGAAATTCATAATACTTTATAGGGTAGGTTTTTTTTTTGTCGAATTTTGAGGCCATTTTTGTGTTTTCTTTATAAATCGAATGGAGTTTTTTTTTATAATTCCAAATTATTTGTAAATGCATTTTTGGTATTTTTTTTTTTTTAATATTAAACAAGCTTAAATTTTGCTATTTGAGAAGCGAATTAAATAATATAATTAGAGTAGAGAAGCTCCATTAACAAAGTCACAAAATGGCCCAAAAAACTGTTTCGTAAGGTTCCAAAGTCAGTTAAGAACTGTTCAAACGCCGTTGCTCAATTTGCTGGCACGCTGATCCAAAGTTGGCTCCTGTTCTTGCTGACGTTGTTGATAATGATGATGATGGTGATGATGATGATGATGACGATGGCGTCGTTCTGGTGGACGTTCCTCCTCCTCCTCCTCCTCCTCCACCGGCGGTGTGGGTTCAATACTCATTTGTGTGGATTTATCAGATTTCCAACCAATTTCAATGGGAGGCGTTGAGGCCTTTTGAGATTTAAGCGAAAACATAGATCCAATCTTCTTAAGCCGACTGTGCACGGAGGACTCTGCATCGTGATCACCGGCGCTCTTTAGACTCTTGCTGGATACGGCCAAAGACTTGGAACGCATTGAATGCGACTTGGATTTGGATGATGAGCTGGAAGACGTTGAGGATGAGCTGCTGGAGCCGACGCTGGCGTGCACCGGTTTGGTGGTTATCCAGATGCATAACGCAAACATCACCTCCGCCTTGAGCGCCTCCTTAAGCGAGATCTGCAACAGAAGCTGCGTCGAGAGATCAATTTATCGAGTGCGCGCAAATACAGCTTACCTTCTCCTCGATGGCTACCGTTTTGACGTTCCACAGAAACTCCGTGCAGCCCAGCACCATGGCCGCAAACAGGCCCAAGCCCAACACCAGAAACACACCGCCGACATTCTCCAAGCCCAGCTCGGGCGTGTCAGCGTTCCCTTCCTCGGCGCCGCCACAGCTGCCGCCGCCATGCATCTCCTTCCACCACTTTCTCTTCAGCTCCGACAGCACTCCCAGCTCACCCAGCTTCAAGACGGCGCCACTAATCTGCTTGCGATATGGTGAATCTGTACAAGAATCCATGTTTTATCCTTTGAACTCTGATGGGGCAAATTAACTTACTAAAAGGCATCGCAATGCCATAACTCTTGTAGTCCAGCCAGCCGCCAATTTGCATTAGGTCACATTTGCGCTCCACATTGTACTCCAGTGTGGTGGACTCCATTAGGAAAGCGTAACGATTTTTTCCTTTCTGCGCTTAGAACAAGTTTATTATTTCATTTAACGGAATAGTTAAGGCTGGGAGAATTCGCACAACTGAAGCGCGCTCAACAATTTGTCATTTATTTTCCTTTATTGTTGCCCGCTTCTTCTATTCGCTCTCACTCTCAGAGAGCAAGAGAGTTTACAGTTTTGTGCGAGGAAAGCAAAATTTGTAAAGCAAACGCAGCAAGTCTTAGATACCCTTAACAAAAATATAACCATGTTATATGGGTTAGTTGCACGGCGTCGTGGCAAACCCATTTAATAATTCACATTACTAATCAATCGAAAGGGAATTACAGCTTGTGCAAACATGCAACATACATACATACACACATACACATTCAGCGATCTATCAAATTACATACATATGTAAAAATTGGCGCTCTCTCTCTGTCGCACAAAACTTACGACTGTAAAACTCTCTTCTTCTGTTAGAATGTCAGCGAGTTCAGGACGCGCGCAAAAGCAAAGTTGTGGCGGGAAATGTCGTGCAGTCTTCGTGTTTTTTTTAATTCAGTGTATTTATTAATGTAGCCCTATGCTCCATTTGTGAATTTTCGTTAAAAGAACACCGTGTCTACGTACACATAAGAATGTGGTTTTAAAAACCAAATATAAAATTATTGTGCGCGTTTTCATTTACATACACACTTAGGTATGTATGAATATGCATACATACAAATGTGCATATGTATGTATCTACCTAAATGTATTCTCGCTGGTAAGTGGTTTTATGGCTTAAACTTAAAAATTAAAAATTGATAAATCAATCAATTTTGAAACAAAATCTAATACTGATGGTCATACAATTTATATACTCAATACATACATGTGTATATTTATTGAGCATTATTTAAAGCAGATGAAATGTGACGTCACAGTCAAAGCGCTGAGCTGCGATTCTGTGCGTAACCATTTTTCTTTTCTTCATCTTCGCTTAACAATGGCTGACGATAAAGAGCTGGCAATAAAAGCAGCTGCAATGTTTGTCTCTTTTCTTTGCATGTATGTTTCCTATGCCCTGCGCACGCTTATTGCTCCGCTCTGTTTTGCTGTTGCTTTCTAACTTGACTTATTTGCTACGACTGGCGACGACAGAGAACGCGCTATAAAATCAGTATTTGTCTCCGTTTTATGCATGTCATTTCGTATGGCTGTTTTATACCAAACGATCTTAACAGATGGCGCAAGCAAAACGAGTTTCCATGCGCGCTGCTGTTGTTGTTTTACATTTTGGCAAGTGTTGATGTTGCTGACCTACCTGCACACGCTCCACGCCCTCGTCGTTGGTTTTAGTGAAAACCGATGGCCTAGCACTTTCCATGGCCGTCCACATGCGTTGATATGTGCTGAAATTGGAATCCCTGAAGAAGCCCATTGTAGAGCCGCCCAATAAGGCGCCATATTTGATCTTGTTCTGGGCAGCCAGATCTTCGGCATTGCTGATCGAGCTGGCTTGGCGGGAGTTGGTCAAGAAAGCAGCCAAATTGGCTGTGTACGAGTTCAACATCATGAGGGCAAAGAACCACCACATTCCAGTAACAAGGCGCGTGGAGGCGGCCCTGTAAAGGTTGAGAAATTGAAGTTGTTTTTTTTTTTTCGATTTATATTAAATGATTTGTCTCACTTGGGCAATATATCGCAACCCTGACCCATAAGGGAGCCTATGGACAGCCACATTGTATTGCTCAGAAACCATATATTCTCAACCTCCTCCGGCTCCTTGCACGGATGCGGATTCTCCCAGTCATCCGGCGCCATGCGGGCCAACGCGAAGAGCAATAACGATATAAAGAGATACGCCGAGCCCATATAGATCCAAACATCCAGCGAGAAGGGCGACAGAAACGAGAACAAATCTGTCGGTGGTATTGGTGGCTTTGAGAACAATATACTTATGCCCAGATTCATGAAAGGCGGCGTAAAATCGACCGCCTGACGGCGGGATGAAGTCATGGTCAGATCACATATGCCCAGATCCGCATTCTGGAAAGAGTTGAAAGTTTAGATAGGAACGTTTCGAAACTCTTGCTTTATTTCATATATGAATATTTGGACTTACGCCATCGATCAGCTGTCGCACGATGCCATCCCATGTTTGGGTGGCTTTGTTCAGGCTACCATATTTTCCGTCTGGTGACATACGGAACTCGTATTTGAAATTTAGCATGCGTGCTATATTGTCAATCAAATCCATGGAGTAACCCTCGTAGCGGGCATTGCCCAGCAATATTTCGCCCTCTCCGGGCTCGCGCATCGTCAGGAAGGGCGCTCCAATGCGCGAGGAGATTATGAACGTTTTGTTCGATAACTTTTGGCCCACACGCTTCTCGCTCTCTTCGTCATCGTTGAGCATATCCAAACCATTGACCGGATCCCAGGTGGCCAGATCCAGGAAGCCACCAGCATCGATCTCCATGAAGCGCAGACTGAAAAAACTGCGCTGTCCGTATTCGTTGAAGTCTATGCGACCCGTGGCGACCTCCTCGGAGCGCTATAGGACACCAATATAGTTAAGTGGAGTTAGGGTTGCGATAGCTTCCTCTGGAGCTTCAATCGTACCGCTTTCATAAACTCAATAATGCGCCGGCCATGTGGCCAGGGCTTCTTGCGTTTGCATTCAATTTCCGGTGCTGTCAGCTCCTCCATTATGCCCAGCTCGGTGAGGCCCTTAGAGAAGAGCCAGACGGCATCGTTAACCAATATCATCTGCGTCTTCACCTGTGTGGGCAGCACTTTAAAATAGCGTCCTTCACGCTTCTCACGCTCCTCCCAGTCGTGAACCACGTTCTTGATGTGATAGTCTGTGGGATCCATCAGGCGAACGGTTGTAATGTTTGCCTCCACGTTCATAATGTCGCCCAGCTCCAATGTGTGCGTATCCAGCAGGGGTATAAAAACGCTCTGACAAAATAAAGAAAAATCTTTGTTAAAATGAAAACCTAATAGACAATCCTTGCCTGATATTCGCCCAGCATTTTAAGCTCGTTGGCTTGCTCCAAAATTCTCAATAGATTTTCGGGTCCACAGTGCAATATGAGACAATTGTCGGTGGACAATTTGATTTCCTTTAGAAATGGCCTGTGATCGTCGTCTGGGCCCAGCTGTCGAATCGTAGTCGGATTACTGCTCGGATCTCCAATTTGTAGTACATCCTGCAGCTGTTGCAGCTCTGCGAAAAAGCAGTCGAAATAAACTTTGAAGCTTGCCGATCTCAAAAGGAACGAAGATTAATATTTAAAAGTAAATTGAAAGGTTTTTACAAAATATTTCACCTATTTTCCACTTAAATGCGTGGAATTGCCATTTTTTTGAGTGTCTCAGCTTTAGAACTTCGTAGAGCTTTAGTTAATGCGTTATTAGGCTGCACTTACCCTTCTCCGATTCGTAGATAATTGTATAGCTGCGCCAACCGAAACTTTGCACGATTTCGGCAAATGCGCGCGCCAGCAGTAAATTATCGGGATGCACATTGAGCGTCATCGAGGAGAGTTCGTATTGCTGATTATGTGGCTGCCAGTCGTAGACTATGTGCGGTATATCCAGTGTATGGCAAATGGAGGCAATAATATCTAAAAAAAAAAAAAAAAAAAGAAGCTTCAAGTGAGCCACGCAAAAAACCCATGAGGTAGCGGCATCGAAAACTTGCCTGAACTGCCGCCGCTGCTGGGCCCAAATATGGCAATAACACCCTGCGATATCAGATTACAAACTGCCAGCAAACGAGTCTAGATAATCGGTTATTTGCCAGACTAATTTGAGGCTTACCCGTTTTCTCCATTATAAAACTGTCCTCGGTATTGGCATAGACCACAATTGGCACTAGCTCTATGTTGCGCTCCAATATATTTGCCCGATCCACAGCGGTGCGAAAAGCTATTTCCGCCTCATCCTTATCCGATGTGAAAATGCTGCCTAGCGAAAAAGTTACACTTTTAGCCAAATTCAATGCACGTGACCTAGTTTTCTATTTTTCTTTTTTCTCTATATTTTTTTTTTTACGAATTTCTTTTAGGAACTTACCCACCATAAACTGCTCCCTGGCTGCGGCCCAGTGGAGCAGCAGCAGCAGCAGCACATGTGAATAATATTTTAATCCCATTTTATTGATATTTTGGCATTTTATTGGCACATTTTAAATTGATTTTTCTCTAACTGATGATGTAAAACTGGGCAAGAAAATGCCACAGAACGCAACTATGACGCTCGGAGGTCTGCAATACATTGAGCTATGTGGGCCATACTATAGAAAAGCTGAACAACTGAACTATGCTAATTTTAAAAGACATCTAGCAGCTTGAGATCCATCCAAAATCTCTCAGAGAGACACAGAGAGTGGGAGAGAGCGCCCTCTGTTTTTTGTTGTGCTAAACATATTCTAAACAACAGGCGAGAGATTTCTCAGAGATCGAAAAGAATATTCTTTGTTATAATATTTTTTTTTTTTTTGGGCTTTCTAATATCATAGGATTTGATGCACAATTGAATTTATAGCTGAGCATAAATATATAGAAATAATTCTATACCTTCTTGCGCACAATATGATCGTAGAATATCATTGTGCCGTACTTGGGTGAAATGGCCGTCGAACGGCGTATGTTTCTGGCAAACGGATTGGGATGACCACCGACTGGTAAAACCTTCTGATCGCCCTTATGCATAAACATCATTCCATAGCGATGATCGTGCAAGACCCGAAAATTATCGCTATCCGAATAGTTGAGCATATTAAAGCGTGGATTACTGTAGCTCAGATGATGCGGCATCGGTCGCAGATAGGCGGTTCCCTGAAATATGCCCGGCCAGTTCGTATGCGAGTGGGCAGAGCGCGCCGCATTCGTCCAGCTCATACCCAAGTCAATATAGCCCGATATATCCGAACAATATGAGCTTGTATACATGGTAAAAACAATTGTCTGTTTTGCTCATTTTGCTTTAGTTATTCAAATATACCTATATGCATATATGCTTAGACTTACCGCCAAATTCTTGGAGTATATGGGCACCTCGCGTCGCTTGAACTCAAGCAGCACTGGATCCTTATTGGTTGGCGACATAAATATACTGAAGGGCTGTATGCCCATTATTTTTGGTCGTATCGCTTGCATTGCCAAATCGTGACGCCTCAGGAATTCCGGTTCATCGTATGGTATCTTCGTGGAGCGATATCCCAATTTGGCAAGGGAAGTGACCACCCTTTGATTGCCCAAATATTGATAATCTTTTCTGGTCGAAAACGAGTTTAGATAATCCTGATGGGTATCATAGTCCAGTACGCTAAAGTCAACCATTTTCTCGCCCATTTTGATGCTTTTCTACAAGGAACAGCTGTCAGCAGCATTCCGAAGATTTTTATGCGCAAAGACTCACCTATTTTTTTGTTAGCTTTCGTGGTTTTGTGTTTTTTTTTTTGTTTTTTTAAATTAAATATATTTATTTTTTTATTATTGTTTAACAGAACGCGTAACTTAACACACTCTGAAGCAATTGTTGCTAAAATTCTAGTTAATTTCAATAAAAAATAACGAAGCCTACTTTCATCTAACTGAAAAGTAGCCCAAGCTCTAGCCAAGAATATTTCGAACTGCATATGGGTAAAAAATATCCAGAAGTACAACTAACATGGCTAAAAGCAATTGGTAAAAAGATAAATGAGACGGGGAAAATCACAAAAATTATCTAAATAAATCAAATGGAACTATTATAATATCTAAGCTAGTTGGGATTTGTGCAGTTATGCATACATTTATGCATTATAATCTATATATATTTTATCTAAATACTAATATATATATATATTTTTATACATATATGTATGCATATGCTGCACAAGTTGATCTTGAGAGTATCTCGAGCTTATCTCAGGGTCTTCTCTCTGGCCTGGCAAACTCCTTCGCATATTCCCTATACTCAATCTAAAATTGTTTGCTTCATTTTATTAACTGAAGAGCGTATTCTTAATGCAAGTCCATTTAGTCTGAATAGAGAGTGAAATAAAAAGTTAGAACCTTCTTTTAAACTATGCATAAAACATTGCTTACCAATGCTGGATATCCTCAAGTCTTCGAGTCATATCATAAAGTTATTATGGACTGGATATATATGGTCAAGGGGTATTTGGAAAGGCTTCGAAATTTGTTATTTTTTGTTTTTGTATTGCATTTTGTATTATTGATCAGTCGGTTGTGAATTGGATTCGCCTATAATAAAATCAGAATGTCAAGCAAATAGGTTGTTGGACTATCATTGTATTTGAATGATATCGATACTTTGATCACCATTTTAAGTGTTTCGGGTAGGGTGTAAAAGTGTTCGACTTGTGATTTGCTTGAAAAAGCAAGGCTATTCCGATGTTGCATCTTATTGTATCATTTCAAGAGCTTATTTATGACTTACGACTTCCCAAGTGCTCCTCCACACTTTAAACGAATTTAAAACCAATTGTAAACTTTTTTTTTATGATTTATTTCAACGGCCGCAACTACTAGAACTATGCCAATAAATAGGAATAAGAAAAGCATACGATGTGTTGCGGAATTGCCAGCTAAACGAAAAATTGTCGATAGATTCGAGGGATGCGTAATTATCGCTGATAGTTCAGTTCCTCGACAATTTTGAAATGGAGATCGATTTTCATTGTTTGGAGAAGCAAGAAAGCAAGAAAAGCTGGAAAAGAAAAAGATCCAGAATCAGAAAGCTAGAGTGCAGGCAAAATTTAAATTATAAAAAGGTGCATTTTTGGTAATTGAAGAAATATATATTAAATAAATGTGAATGGCGAAAAAAAATATTCCAAAAAATTCTATATGTGTATGAATCTGAAGTGAATTATTTTATTACTAATTATAGGCGAGCGCCACGCCCATTCATTTTCTCCGATTGTGTGTGCTCGAAAAGTAACTGAAATTCTTTAGTCCGAGCTTAAATATAAATTATTTTGTTAGAGTCGGTTCGATTCCATTTATCGAGGCCTTACTCACCCCTGGTTGATCTCTGTTTAGTGGGGGGGTTTTTTTTTAAATTTAATTTTGCTTTATTTTCATTTTTCTGTAATTTTCAGAATTATTTTATATACTTATTCTACTGGTAAGTCGAATATACAAATTTACAGCGGCGACTATATAAATCGATATGGGAGATCGATCGGGCGGATCGATAAAAGAAATGTGAACGACAAGTCGGATCATAACGACTAAAAACCAAACCTCTAAGCTAGACAATAAAAAATAAAATAACAGCAAAATTACGGAAACTCAGACTTATTCGTATTTAAAAATTGAATTTGAATGGAATATCTGGAATGGCAAATGGAATGGCATGATCTAAAATTGTCAGCTCAAAATGGAAGTCACAGAAAAGGCCGGCCAATAGCCGCTGCTATATAAAAAAAAAAAAATGAGGAAAATAATTAGTAAAAAGTAGCGAGAGTTTTTTATATAGCGGATTAGCTGCGGATGGGGCCGCCACGCAATATTGATTGTCCATAACGCGAAATGCGGCACGACATTGGCACACGTCCTTCAAACACTGCATCCGAGAGTCTTGCAGCCGGCCCTCTACAACCAGCTCAAGGCAGTCCTCGGTAGTGCGGCAGTAAATGCCGTATGGCAGACGCGGCTCGCAAACGGGGCTTGTGTGATTCGGCTTCATTTTTGGAATGTGATCGCTGCGGCAGCTGCAGCGATTGTCAGTGCAGCAGAAGTACAATGGCCACCAAGTCCCAAGCCCGTTATGCAGGTTGTCCTATTGTGATTGGGCACATAGCCCGGAATACAGGCGCACCGCATACCTTGTGGCAGACAAATTGAAGCGTCCACATGTTCGCATTGCGTATTGTTGCTGCAGCTCAAATCTGTGCATGGATGTTGCCCATTAGTTTGAATAGTTTGAAAAGATACTTTTGTCGAAGAAACACTCACCCAGAAGCCCTAGGCACTTGTCCTGGTGCTGCTCAAAGTTTTCCATGCATACGCAGCGATTTTGCGACACGCCACAGGCGGCAAACGTGTCCGCCTGCTGACATTCGGCCGACAGCTCACACGCTCCATCCAGGTTCACCTGGAGCGGCAAACAGCACAACATTAACCAGACAACATATGGACTGGACATCAGTGCAGGCAAATAGCCACAAAACGTATCGGTGGCCTCTGGTCCAAAATAGCGAGTAAAATATATATGTATATATAATGTATTTTTGAACCACTTACTCTACAGCAAAGTGCTTGGCGCACTCTCTTCCATACTCACACTCAGCCCTCAATGTGGTGCCTATTTGTTGGTGGTGGTGGTGCTAATAAACGATGCGACATTCGATTAAATCGATATTTTTGGTAGTAACCAATCGATGTTCTCGATGTTTACCCAACGAAAAGTTTGGATTTTTCTGTGCTTTCCATGTTTCTCATTATTTTGTTTGGCTTTTGGTGAGCGAAGAGCCAGTCAGCTGGCGTTCGTTCTTAAGTGGGAAAAGCTAGCCGAAATGCATGTCTATTTAAATAAGCAAAATGTTTTGACGCTCTCTTTCGCTCTCACTAGCTGTATCTCTTTATCTTGTTTGTATTATTTAATGGAAATCCGTCAAAATTAAACTTGAAAAAAACATCAAAAGCGCAATTTTAGACCAATTTCGAAATCAAAAAAGTCTGCCAAGATCGAACAACAGCAAGAGCATCACAATATTTGGCACACAATATGAAAAGCCGCTGACAAACATAATTATGGCTGTATACAAAGAAGAAAATCAACAAAAAAAAAAATTAATAACTAATGCCGCCTACGTCATCGACTATGCCACATGGCCAACATGACACACGGCACTGCCCCAAGAGCAGCGCACACAGGCGAATCCGAAAGATTGCCAGTTGAAGAGCGGACACAGTTGGGCCGTGCGGTCAGTGTGCGTGCTTAGCGCTCCAAGACTGGATGCCTGCGGTCGCTTGGACAAGCATCTGAATATATAATAAAACAATACAAAAAAAGATTAAAAATTTCTTGAAATTTTTACGTAATTTTGTAGAGGTGTGTGCGCGCCTGTATCTCTATATACATATGTATGTATGTATGTACTTACTACAAATGTATATGTAGCTAAAAAGTGAACAACGAAATGGCCGCTGCATTTAGAAAATTCAATTAGAGCGCGTTTAAGCAGAACATTTTGTATTGGACAAAAATGCATTTGTATCCAGTTAACATTTATGTGGTGTTATTTTTAAAATATGCCCTCCCCATTGCCGCTGAGGGGCACACAAAAATCACAGTGGGTATGTTTCCATTAACAAAGTTAAAAACAAAAACAAGAAAAAAAAAAAAAAAAAAACCAAAACATTTTCTTGTAGGCGCTATTTTCTATGAAAATGAAAAGGAAATCGAAATGAGTTTCGATCAGGCCTTTCGCGAGGTTAACAACCTAAAGTTCTCCGATCTTCAGTTTCTGACGATCAAACGATATATGCCCACCAACGACAGTTTTCAGCTGCAACAGATCGGTAAGTGTGACCCCGTCATATAAAGCTTATATGCTCACGCACTCGGTCACATTTTCCGTATAGCTTGTGAACTAATTTCCAATGGCGTTGCGGCTATATTCGGACCAAGTTCAAAGGCAGCTAGTGGTACGTACTGTTCGTGCTCTGTGCTCTGTGCTCATTGATCAACAGATATGCTGATTGTATTCTATAATCGCTTCAGATATTGTAGCGCAAATCGCAAACACGACCGGCATTCCACATATAGAATACGATTGGAAACTCGAGGCAACGCGTCAGGAGCATTTGAATCACCAAATGACGATTAATGTGGCGCCCTCCTTATCCGCATTGTCGCGTGCCTATTTCGAGATTATCAAAACCAACTACGAGTGGCGCACATTTACCTTAATCTATGAAACACCAGAGGGTAAGTTTTTGCGAAGACATTTTCGGCAAAGTTTCATGTTCTTTGAAATGTGGAAATCGAATTATATTATTATTATTTTATATCGTAGTTTTTCTCATCGTGTGGTTTGCTTTCAGGACTCGCGCGGTTACAAGATCTTATGAACATACACGCCCTGAACACGGACTATCTTAAGTTGCGTAATCTAGCCGATTATGCTGAGGATTATCGCGTTCTATGGAAGGAGGCAGATGAAACCTTTCATGAACATCGCATTATTTTGGACTGTGAGCCAAAATCGTTGAAGGAACTGCTGAAAATCTCTGTAGATTTCAAGCTTCAAGGCCCATTTCGCGTGAGTATTCAAAACTGTTTGCTTTTGCAGCGAGCCTAAAGAATCTTAACATGCAGAACTGGTTTCTCACCCATCTGGATACGCACAGTTCAGGCCTGAAGGATATTTATAATGAAGACTTCAAGGCGAACATAACATCGGTACGCTTGAAAACTGTCGATCCCAATCCCTATGAGCGCAAGAAAACGCGCATCACCAAAGTGGATGTGAGTAGCGCCCATAAAAATGAAGATTTCAGTTTCACTTAACCAAATATTTACCCAACTATATAGCAAATACTTGGCAGCCAAATGATGTTGCCCGTACTCATCTATGATGCGGTTGTGCTGTTCGCCAATTCGGCGCGCAATGTGATCGCTTCCATGGAACAGTTTTATCCGCCCAACAGCCACTGCGGCTTGGGCTACGGCAATACCTGGATAATGGGCGGCCATATAGTGCAAGAAATGAAAACCATATCGGAGGATGATGTTGAGCCGCATTTCAAAACCGAGAATATGAAAATTAATGAGTATGGACAGCGTACACATTTCAATCTGGAGATCTATAAGCCCACGGTTAATGAACCGCTGATGGTATGGACGCCAGATAATGGCATTAAAATACGTCGACTGAATCCGGAGCTTGAAAGCTCGGCAGCCACGCCGGATTTCTCGGTGCAGCGCAAGGTCTACACGGTGGTGACACATCACGAGGAGCCGTACTTTATGATGAAGTAGGTTTTAACTGGCATATTATTTGATAAACTTATACTATTTGATCTCATTTGCAGGCAAGATCACGAGAACTATAGGGGACAGGAAAAGTATGAGGGCTATGCCGTCGATTTGATTAGAAAGCTGTCCGAGCTTATGGAGTTCGATTACGAGTTCATGATTGTCAATGGCAACGGAAAATACAATCCGGAGACCAAGCAATGGGATGGCATTATACGCAAGCTCATTGATCATGTGAGTTGTGTTTTTCTTAAAGTGATTCTGCTAGTTTTTTTTTCTATATTACATTTGTATGTATTAGCATGCCCAAATTGGTGTCTGTGACCTGACGATTACTCAGCTGCGCCGTTCGGCAGTGGATTTTACGGTGCCCTTTATGCAGCTGGGCATTAGCATATTGCATTACAAGAGTCCGCCGGAACAAAAGAATCCATTTGCTTTCTTGGAGCCCTTTGCACCAGAGGTCTGGATCTATATGATTTTTGCACAGCTCGTGATGACGTTGGCCTTTGTGCTGATCGCCAGGTGAGCTGTGATCCTGTTGATTATCTTTCTGTTTTTAATTGAAATAACTATTACCTAGACTCTCCTATCGCGAGTGGATGCCGCCAAATCCGGCTATTGTCGATCCAGATGAGCTGGAGAATATTTGGAATGTGAATAACAGTTGCTGGCTTATGGTGGGCTCCATTATGCAACAGGGCTGCGATATATTGCCCAGGTTTGACAGGCAGGAAAAGAATTCGACACAAATTTAAGGCTCTTGTGTATTCTAGGGGTCCACACATGCGCATTTTAACTGGCATGTGGTGGTTCTTTGCACTAATGATGCTCAGCACTTATACGGCCAATTTGGCTGCCTTTTTGACCAGCAACAAGTGGCAGAGCACCATCAAGAGTTTGCAGGATCTGATTGAACAGGATGAGGTCAAGTTTGGCAGCATGCGCGGCGGCAGCACATCATTGTTCTTCTCCGAATCGAACGACACGGACTATCAGCGTGCCTGGAATCAAATGAAAGGCTTCAATCCCTCTGCGTTTACCAGCAACAACAAGGAGGGCGTTGATCGTGTACGCAAGGAGAAGGGCAACTATGCCTTCCTCATGGAAACTACCAGCATGACCTACAACATTGAACGCCACTGCGATTTGCGACAGATTGGCGGGCAGATTGGTGAAAAGCATTACGGCCTGGCTGTGCCATTGGGTAAGCTAAGAGTTTCTGAGTTCTGTTAGCTATAAGAGAAGAGAAATGTATGTAACAGGCAGAATAGATACAGCAGCTGAGTCGATCCAACTATATTCGAGTGTCTACAAGAGCTGGAAAATTGACATTCGAAGATCGGAAACGTATCAAATCAATGATAACTTTTTTTTTTAATCTGGGTATTGAGCATAGCTCGAAGCTTATAGAAGCTTATAGACTCTCCTCCTGTTTCCTATTATCTTCTTTTCTTAACTATATATAAAAAATATTAATATGTTAAAGTCTCCTGATGCTACTCTCATCTAACACCGATCTATATTATATGTATATTTATATATTCCCTTTCAGGCGCCGATTATCGCACCAATTTGAGCGTTTCAATTCTGCAGCTCAGCGAGAAGGGTGAGCTCTATAAGCTGAAGAACAAATGGTGGAAGAATCACAATGTTACCTGCGAATCATTCCACGAGGTAGATGGTGATGAGTTGTCCATTATAGAGCTGGGCGGTGTGTTTCTGGTGCTGGTTGGTGGACTGCTAACTGGCGTTATTTTGGGCATCTTTGAGTTTTTGTGGAATGTGCAGAATGTGGCCGTGGAAGAGCGTGTTACGCCCTGGCAGGCCTTAAAGGCCGAACTTATTTTTGCCCTAAAGTTTTGGGTGCGCAAGAAGCCGATGCGCATATCGAGCAGTAACAGCAGTGGCGGGGACAAATCCTCCAGACGCTCCTCGGCGTCCAGGCGCAGTTCCAAGGAGAAGACGCGCAGCAAGACGGCCAGTTAGTGCATAAGTTGGAGAATTTATTTGGTTTCTGAATTGCACTCGTGTTGAATAAACCATCTTGTTTTCTAGAGAAATTCAGGCTAGATTGAGTAATGATTGTCTCGCGCATATCGCTTAGTATATATATGTATATATATATATATAGAAATTCTAGAGGGTGTTTTAATTTTTTTATTGGTCACCATATTTTTTTCATTTCTGACTTTTTAAACACCCTACACAATTTGCTGTATGGTGTTTTGGCACGCACTAGTTGTGTTCACATTTGCCTGCCATTTACTTGGCTCATTTCCAGCTGTAGCTCAGGCGACAGTCCACATGGTCTAGAGTGTGAGGCGACTTTTCCATAAAACAAA